GCTGTATTGTCTCGGAGATCTGTGTCATCAAAGCCTTGCCGGATCTTCTGAACTTTCTTGTAAAAAAAACTTAACAAAATCTTCGGCAAGGGTCTGGTCATTAGTAGCCGGTGGTAGAGGAGTTCCCGCATTATAATTCATTAGACTACTAATGAATCTGAAAGTCTCTTTACTGTCCGCTCTGGTGAGCTTTACCTGATAATAACTGGATTTGGCAAAGTTGATTCTATGCACCACAGCTCGGGACTGTTCTGTAAGCATATGTCTATGGACCTCTAGGCCTGAGCTCATGGCTTTACGCTCCAACTGTCTTCTCCGTTTTCTTGCTTCATGAATTGAGTCATTGTACCATGGTTTAAGAGATTCTCCTTTGATGGTGATTGTTCGTTTGGGTACTATGCTGTCCAGGACTACTTCCACTTTGGAGTCTATTGCTGACAGTAGATCATTGACATGGCCCCCTTCTTTGATGGAATTCAGCGATTCTGCTAGTTCTTGTGCAAGTGTTTCCACAGGGATGCGCTTCAATGGCCTAGCTAGCCGACTTTTGTTTGCTAGGTGTAATGGACAGGTGTAAAGTTGGCAAGTAACCGCATAGTGATTTGAGATCCCTATATCAGACACTAGGATGGACTTTACAAGTGGGAATATGGGGTCATTCCTTGTGAACACTAAGTCCAGAGTGTGTCCAGCAGCATGGGTAGCGACGTTAACATGTTGTTTTAGGTCAAGTCCAGCCACTATGTCCTGAACCTGTTTCGTGTGTGACATACCCGATTCGTCATAATGGATTTTCATGTCACCGAGGATGCATAATTGGGATGGAATAGTAGTGCATACATGTGTCAGGAACTGTTCCCACTCCTTGAGGAATTGGGTTCCCGTGAGACCATTCTGTCTTGAGGGAGGAAGATGATACACAAGCACTAGAGTAACAGGATGACTGCTATTTAGCCTGACTGCAAGTTTCAAAAGTCTTGAATTCAGGTTGAGATGTGCATGTGATATCCATACTGGCTTTGATGACAAAACCAACCCCTCCTCATCTGGTCCCTTTGGATGTAGGTCTAGGCACGCCAATGTATTTGTATCCAGGAGGGCAGAGATCGTTTATGTGCGAATCGTCTCCTTCACGCAAACAGGTTTCGGTGATAGCCAAGATGTCGATACCCTTATCATTGACATATTCGCAGAGGGATACAGCTTTCCCTGCTACAGATCTTGCATTGATCAGGTGCAGACTGATGGACTTGTTTGTTATATGCATATGCTTGTTCTTGATAGGAATATGTATGAGGTTTTTATCATTTACACCATTCGAATGTTCGATGTATACATTTCTATCAAGAGACACCTTCAACTTTATTTTCATATGGCTTGAAAACCGGCCCACTTGTGCTGGAATAGGGACTTCCTCATTAGGCTCCTCAGAAACTGATACGGTAGATATTGGAGTACTTAGTGTATTACTTGAGATACAAACTAGGTTATTGATATTAACTCTAGATTGTTGGTGCCTCGTATATCTATACCGCCCAACACAGACTGTTTGAATATATCTGATGAACCTGCGTCCCGCTTTCGTTCCTCGTCTGACATGAAAGTGTTTAGTATGACCTGTCGGAGGTAGGTCAGTTGATCTACTGAAGCACATTATATAACTATTGAAGTCTTCACCTGCACAAATTGATAGAACAACCTTCTAAATACGACTAGAGACGACCAAAAGTCAGGTCGTACTGCAACATTCGCAGCTAGGATAAGGCTGCCCGTAAAATATCAAACTGTTCAAACTGTAGTAACTTCCCTGAACTACCTAGATATGACGTCATAATATAATATGACGTCAAGTCACTGCATACTTGAGCTGACATGACGGGGAAAGTGTCATAATTGTTACACGGCACATAGATTTATTCTGGGGACTTGTTGTTTAATTCAAATGTAAGGTTTGTTTTTTAAGCTTGTGTGTGTTGTTATTATGTTTAACATTTGATATTTAAATATCTCTATTCCTTTTCCTTGTCCGATAGGCATATATTCAAGCAATAGCAAAATATTATGTTTCAAACGCTCCCCTTACACTTCCGTAGACAGAGTTAGAATTTATGAATCGTGTTTATATTGGACTCGCACAAGTGAAAGACGAGGATAAATTGAAGATATTTTGCGTGAATCTAAAAGAGAAGTATGTTTTCTAACTGAAATTTGCTGGGGGATCGTATGTATTTTATCCGCTTTTGTATAAATCGCGATAATGAGTGGAAAATACCCCTTCTTACGTTGGTAATTTTAATTTATCGTAAACTATTTTCTTAAGAAGAAAAAATTAAACCTGCCCCCAGCACTTTTTAAGTACCATGGATCACGATGAATTGATCTATATAACAAACTTTGCACAATAATTGTGTTATGCACTTGTGCCGATGCGATTTTTGTGCAACATTTAAGAATATCAAAAATGTCCGTCACGTGATCAACACAGTCATCTGACATCACAGAAATGCTTTATTATAATACCTGATTAAACTGTTATCTCAAGTTGACTGCAAATTCAAACAAGGATAACATTTTGAAATTAAAATCTAGTTCAAAATAAAATGTATGTTTTAAGACATTTTAAGCCTTCGGACAGCCTTATCATAACTGCGTTCATGTATTCTTGCATAAGACAATTCATTCGCGGGTCGACTTATCAATGTAATCTAAGACTTCAGGAAATCAAGTCGTACGACATCTTAAATCCTTAGTGCAGTACGAAGATTCATAGAAAAACTTGATAAAACATTTGGGAACAGAAATAAAGTCACGCATCAGTGAGCACAATGCTATAAATTATTGTCTTAAAATCTTTTTAAAATGCAAGTTTCTTTGCAAAATTATTACCGTCTTTGTATCTAGCAATGTGAACTGTGAAAGCTTATCAAATCTTAAAACAGGAACTTTAAAACAAATGTGCATCAAGTCTACAGAAAGGTTGTCCAAGACAAAAAACGCACTCTTTTTAAATACTCATAAACCTACCCAACAAATGTTATCATTTTCCTAGTATAATAAATTATAAGGAAATAATAATATTGCCATTTTACCTATAATGTTTAAGGCCCTTGCAATTGATTGCTCTGCTACTATTTTGTGTTGTTTTATGGACATTTGAACTTGGATACAGTTTGTTATTTGCATATATTTCACTCCCGAATCGAGGAGTAAAAGATTGATCGGTCCGTCGGAGACCCAAATCCCACTATGGGACGTGGAGACTAATAAACTGTCTTGTCGCAGTACTTGAATGATAGCAAAAGTAATATAAAATCTCTTACTGCTCAGTGGTCCTGAGTGGTGCTAAGTATAGCTGAAAATTTGCGGCTCTCCACTGACAATTAGCAGCGTCTCCATATGATTGAAAAATTCTCGAGAGAGACTTTAAACAACGAACAAACATTTTCAGTATTTGCATTTTTTTTTAGATAAAAAACTGAAAATGCTTCCACAATTTATGCTGCATAGATAGCGAAAAAATTGTTTCTTTTACATGTATCTCCACGTGTTTAAAGTATTAAGTAGAACTAAAGCAATACATAAGAAATAAAACACTACACGCATGTGGTCTAAAGCCGTCAACTAGAACGGAAATCGATTATCTTTTTCTAAATTTTGAAACCTTTATCGGTCCTTGAGGACTTCACATATTTACCCATCAGATTGAGAGTGTTTGTAAAATGGGTAGGTATTCTTGGGCCGGGGCAAATTAAAAACAGGGGTGATTACGATTTTTCAAAGAACGAGTGCACTTATGGGCCATTCACAACACACTCACACACACCCTCTCTCACCCTCACACACCCTCCTTCACACACTCTCACCCCCAATCCCCATCCCTATCCCCATCCCCCCCCCCAAAAAAAATAATAAACACATACGGAGAGAGAGAGAGCATTCTACAATATTGTGTTTATTAATTATCATGTTAAAAAAAAATCATGTTTATAATAGTACCTTGATAACAGGTTTGGTTATACGATAAATAACCACTCTTGCAGTTACATCTATTATCCTTGCACACTTCTGCAGGAACACTACCAGTGCACTGCCAGTTCCAATGACAAAACCCACCTAAAGCCACTTTTCCTGAAATGTTGTTCATTAAAACAAATGTGCATAAAGTCTACAGAAGGGTTGTCCAAGACAAAAAACGCACTCTTTTTAAATGCTCATTAACCACTCCAACAAATGTTATCATTTTCTTAGTATAATAAATTATAAGGAAATAAGAATATTGTCATTTTTGCAAAAAAGTATGATGTTTTCATGAAATATATGGATATTAGAAACAGTTTTAAAGACCAAAAGGTCATTAAATGCAAGAGAAAACAATATTTAAACTGTAAAATTAAGATGTGCGGTGCACGGCAATTTCTTGACTTGTTAAAATAGCATTGACATATATTTTTTCTTGCTTTATTAGTTTACATGGAAATACATTAGAACAAAAACTTTTATAATTACGAAAGCTTTCTGATCTAGGATCTAGAGTACTTGTGTGAAAAAAAGCAATCATGATATTTACCATGAAGTATGCATTTTGAGTTCGAGACGTTTTGGTGTGTTAGAACAAATATACATGGTTCTTTTCTTGAGGGAGGGAGAGAGAGAGAGATAATTATAACCGAAATATTGTATTTATTAATTTACCATGTTAAATTATTTAAGAAATAAACCTTTTTTCTACTTTGCGGTTGAAAAAGAGTAAACTGCCCAAAGTTAAATATAACAAGTTGTAATAAGATCTATTCCTTATACACGTTAGTTAATTTCAGTGTAGACAGTGAGACAATTTTCCTCAAGAAAAGACTTCAAATTGAACATAATGTAAAAGTAACGTCAAGCAGAGTAATACGATTTGACGTAACTAATTGAGACGTAGGCAACTTTTGTCATATTAAACAGATTAAATCTTTTACCCAATCAAATGACAAGAAATATTAAATTATAAATATTACCTTGATGACATGTTTGGTTATGTAAAAAATATCCATGTTTGCAGACACATCTATTATTCTTGCACACGTCTGCATGAAAACTACCGGTACACTGCCAGCTTCTATGACAAAACCCATCTAAAGCCACTTTTCCTGAAATGTTGTTCATTAAAACACACGTTCATAAAATGTACAGATGGGTTGTGCAAGAAAAAACGCGCTGATTTAAAATATTTAAAAACTATCTACCAATTTTTTTTGGTTAATAAATAATAAGGAAATAATAATATTGTCAATTTTGCAAAATACATGTAGTATGAGGTTTCCATGAAATATATGGAGATATCGAAGAGTATTCAAAATCAAATCAAAAATCTATTAAATGCATAAAAAACAACAGTTAAACTGTACAATTAAGATTGGCGGTGCACGGCGATTTCTTTTCTTTTAAAAATAGCATTGGCATATATTTTTTCTAGTTTTTTTATTAGTTTACATGGAAGTACAATGCGACAAAACTTTAATATCAACGAAAACTTTATGATTAAAAGTACGTGTGAAAAAAAAGCAATCATGGTATTCAACGTGTAGAATGCAGTGTGAGTCCAAGAACAGTGTGCTGGAACAAATGTTAATACTTCATTTCAAAGAAAGTCTCATACTTATGTGTTTGAAAGAAATATTCATCTTTGAAATATAATATCTTGTTGATTGACAGTATCATGTAGATGAACTTAAAGTTACTAGTTTGAAATTTGAGAGTGATAATGAATTCATATTCCTATACTGCATTATGTACGTATTATTTAAAATTTTTATTTGATATTTTCACAGTATTTTATGGAATACTGTGTAGAAAGAAATTTTCGCCCCTTTTGCCATGTTCATGGCTGGGTGTATTTAAAACCGGGCAAATTCAATGACCCCGCATAATTTCAGAAACAGTACTATGGACGGGCGAATTTAAAACAGGGCAAAATTAGCTGCAGGAACAAATGGGCGAAAATTACACGGGGCGTACATAACCTTGTACATGTACAGTGTATACAGTAATAAAATCTGCAAATTGTAAGCCAATCAGTTTTCAACATAAGAGCACGCTCCAGCTTGCATTCATTTCTCCTATTAAGAGTATATAAGAGCTCGTTTCTCATTTTACAGCTTACTATACTATAAATTTCATTTTGTTTGTACAGTGAACGAAAAAAATATATCAAACAATATGCTTCCAAATTTGTTCAGGGTACAGTACCGACCAGACCCAACCTGACACAAAGCAGTCCCAGAGCAGTCCCGGGGACTGCTTTCTGGGACTGCTAAAGCAGTCCCACAGCGGTCCCAGAGCAGTCCCACAGCGGTCCCAGAGCAGTCCCACAGCAGTCCCAGAGCGGTCCCAGCAGTCCCAGCGGTCCCAGAGAGCAGTCCCAGCAGTCCCAGTGGGCGGGGTTTATTTATTTAATGGGTGGAGCTAACTCAGAAATGAGATTTCCAATAAACAATGGAACTATAAAAGGCAGTAGAAATTGATTCTGGGTAGTATACCAGGAATCCTACATGTATGTAGGCGAAGGTCATTTATGAACAGAACATGTACGCGCATAAAAATTGAAATAATTATATTTATTGGAGGAAGGCTTTCACACTTACATGTACATATATGAATTACACTGAACACGAATATTTAATCACAATTCTTATATTAATAATTCTTCTGTGATTGATACTGGTTCCCATATTTATTTTTTATTCAGAAAATTAATTGTGAATTAATTATTTTCCACCAGAAGAAGCTTTAAATAGATCTTATCATTAATGGCCAATTTAGACTTTCGGGATACTCTAAACATTAGGGTTTTCTTAAGTATCGGGGCTTTTAAAAAAATTCTTTGTTAATTTTGCAAAGTTTTATTTTTCAGCCATGATTTTTTTTACTGACATGTCAATTTAATTATCGTTAATGCCTAGTTCTATAAAACTCAGGTTTAAGTGTATTATTTGTAAATGTTAGAGCTAGGGTACATCAGATCTGTGAATCACCAGAATGGAAGCTTCAGATTATGTTCAAAATTAATTAATCCCGAAAGAAATTTATACACATTTCATTTATCAAATTTTTTTTAGCATTAAATAAACTGAAATTAGGTTCATTGTTTACCAGCATGTTCAATGATGTGTAACATTGATACAAATATCCAAATAACATGTATCGATTTTCTGCCCCAAGGTGATTGAAACAATGGGTGTTGATACCATCTTATAAACATTAATCGGCCAAGTAAACACTAGCAAAACAAAAAAGAAATAAATCTGAATTCCCAGTATTTTCAGTTTAAAAAAAAAAAATAATAATTATATTCTTTAAATAACTTATTTATAAATTAAAAGCTACCGGTAATTCATTGATTAATTCCCCAATGATTATTCACATAGTTTATGTTACGGGAGAATGGTAGCATAATTTTATTTCATGGTCATTTAATAAATTGTTGGGTTTTATTTGAGGGTTACATGGAATACTTTTTTTTACGCGTGGTCCTTATAAAATGTGTAGCATTTTTAATTAAAAAAATCTTATATCTATAACTGTAATGATTTTTTAATAGTACCAATGCAAATTTTGAGGACATAATTTAACATTAAATAATTTAAAAAAGCCCAGATGTAGCTATTTTTTTCTCACAAACTTGTAGTTTATTTTTAGGGATAAAAATTTTCTCATGAATAAAAATTATTCCTTATTTATCAACTTTTTTTTTTAAAAATTTAAATCTAAACTACCATTAATTTGTGTAAGTATACAGTCCCTGAAAATATTAATTAACTATAATAATCTCTATTTATTAAAAGAATGTAAGAAATCCTTGCTTATTTAACAGTTTAAATTCCTCACTGCTGCAAGTAAACAAAACAACAGGGAGCCTGCAAATTCAGAATACACAAGGGGCGGAGCTATCATGTCACTCAGAACCTTTTTCACACATGAGTGAACAAAGCAGTCCCAGAAAGCAGTCCCAGGGGCAGCTGGGACTGCTGGGACTGCTTTTCATAGCAGTCCCAGAGCAGTCCCATAGCGGTCCCAGAGCAGTCCCACAGCGGTCCCAGAGCAGTCCCACAGCAGTCCCAAAGCAGTCCCGGGGACTGCTTTCTGGGACTGCTTTGGTGTCAGGTTGGGTCTGGTCGGTACTGTAGTTGGAGAAGTTCGTGGACACCTGCTATATCTCTTTAATTTGAGATATCCAAATTCGGTCGACATAATTTAACTATATATCAAAAAAGTATTCAAATACTTCGATTAAAAATTTTAAAATGATCTTGAATTATTTGAAACCTATCAAGAATTAAAAACTACAAAACTCGGATCGCGGAGCAGGTCATAATTTAGTAGTACACAAAAAAACACATGAAATAAATATGATAATGTCTGTAGTCACATTTTCTGTAAAATTGGAAAAACGGTTAAAACGGGAAAACATCCCAGAACTTTAAATCATTAAGTGTTCCATTCATTCATGTTCCAAATTTTAGCTAAATATTTCGCTTCGTTGAAAAGAAATAATTTTGAAAAGTTGGTAGATCTCGTTGAAAGCAACAAAAATAACGACGTTATTGAACTTTACGGTTCAGCACATAACGATGCCATTTTGTGTTCTACCTAGGGAAAATCCTGAATAAACTCTGAAAATATTTTTTAAAATGTCATAGGTAAGTCGTGCATGTGTTTATTAATGGAACAGGTGGTACTTGAGTTACAAAGACTTCGTATAAGACAAGGACAATCAGTAAAGAAACGGTTTATCCGATAAAATCTAATCAAAAACTTTAAAAAATTTGGAAAGTCATAGAAATACATAGATGCTCCTGAGTTGCTGATCTTGTGAAAGCAAAGTTAAATGGTAGAAGAAATTAAAACATTGACAAATGGATTTATACATCGGGAACAATTGTCCAAAAAGTGATAAGTGCTACATAACGATTTTTTAATGAGTGATTTTTTAACTATAATATAAGAATGTATAGGGATAGTATTTTAAAAAATGCTTGACGTTACATTCTCCGTGGTTTCAAAACATGTTTCTAAAATGAAATAATTTGACTTCTTTTGGATAGAATGAAATGAAACTTCACACATCAACCAAATAAATATTTTACACATAATATTGTGCTTTTTTGAATTGTTTGAAAGTAGTTTCACGAAGATTGGGATAGTCCAGGAACTTTTTGAACAACCTTCGTAAAACATGCATAATGATTAGGTAACAATATCACAAGTTGTTTTCGATATCATCCATATATTCTTAGAAAAAATGTCAACATTAGGCGTTACAAAAATTGTAACTCAAAGCAAAGATTACTTTCATCTTAAAAATCCTTTATACGATCAGTTACCTGCGTAACAACGGTTTTGTATTGCAGTATATCCCTCTTTACATGCACATCTTGAATTCAAGCAAACACCTGAGTAGATTCTATCTCTGCACTGAATATCAAACACACATTGACCATCAAGTGGAACAGCAGCTTAAGATGTAAAATATGAAATAAACATTGCATTAGAAAATATTACAAAGTACATAACCTGACATTGATTGATTATTTATTGAGTTTAAGGACAAGCTATGCGTTTCTTAATATTATATTTGTTCTAAAATTTGGTTATTTGAGTTTAATTGTCGATACTTTAACATGTTAACTCGCAAAAAAATTGAGACACAAAGGGAACGAAAGATGTTTGGTCACATGACTCAGTCTAATATTACGTCATAATCTCTGATAATATTTGTACAAAACGAGATTGAAACAACAATACTTGTATAATTTTTTAACTGTTTGTTTAATTTTCGTTCACCATCTAGTATACAATATCTGAAAACATTTATAATTTCTTGCAAATATTATCAAATTAAGGAATAAATTAATCCATTCTTCTGTTTACCTACACTGTGCGTCCAGCGCGTTTTTGACGTTATAATGGATCTCTTAGTACAGTAAGATTATACACGGTAAAAACGGGTAGTATAAAATCATAAAAACGGGTCATGATCTGTAAATGGTGGGGTAGTTTGTGAATTACAGAACGCAAAAAATATTTTTACATGGCTGTTGACGGAAATGCTCGGTAGGTATGACCTATTTCGCTTATTTCAGGAATGTGTGACGTCATAGTTGGGTTTTCCCGTACTCGAGAAATGTAAGCAAGACATGTTCTTCTCATGATTACCGGTATGTCTCGTTTAACTATGCCCCGTGCAACATTGAGCTCAGCTTTACCAATCGATATTTTAACAGTTAATCAATACCATGACGAAATTGCATTTCAACGTAAATTTTCAAATATTGAATGATAGGATTTTTTGCACATTATTTTTTTTTAGTGTTTAATTAAGTTGTCTTCAAAGTACGTAATTTTCCGTCTCCAGATGCGGTGTGACAAAAGAATTTTGCTTTTTCGAATTTTTAACCCTACTCATACTCTGAAATATTTTAAAATACACATTTTCGCTGATATATTTTTTATTATGTTAAAAAAAAATTCCTTATTGACCGAGTGATGGGCCAAAAAACATGGAGAATCAATCGTTTACTCAGACACTGTTAGGCTTAGTATTTGTCACTCAATATCTCAAAAATACCGCGGTAAGTCAAGAAACCTATTGATATATCTGCTTTAATGCATGTGGAACATACTAAATTAGGGATATATAAAATATGAAAAATATTGAACGACAGGTATTTTTTTCAGCTAAGGACCTTCTTCCCCTTAATATAAAATGTGAGATAAATGTGTTTCATTGACATGAATAATTCTTTTGGAAATAACTTTTATCGTACAATAATTATTGTTGTTTATTTTTAAAAAAGTACCGATGGCTTTCGATATTTTGTATGCATAACAAAAATTTATTTTTATCTATAAATAAGCAATGTTATGTTTATGCATTGAAAGTATTATAAAGTATTATAAACACAAAAATTGATATGTTTATTTAAAAAAAAACTTTAAATTAAAAAATATTTACATTTTCCCATGTCGTTCACTGACTTAGAACTACAAATAAAGTAATTTTTTATAACCTCATACTGCGACTTGCTCAATATACATGACAGCACTACGTGCCTTTTCACAGCGTGATGCTTATAAGCAATAAACATAGAGGGGACCCTGATGACACATTTGGAGATAACAAACAGTATTCAATATAAAAAGTTCAATACAAATTAGGAGCAGAGCAAACACACCTCTAAATTATCGGAGGTGGAATCAGGTACCATGGAGGAGTGAGCATCCCCTGCTGACAGGTCACAACCGCCGTGTGCTCCTTGTCATGACCGAAAAATAACGAAAGAATCCATAGTCAATTCAGTGTATAAAAATTGACTAACAATTAATATGAAAAACGTCAGTCAGCATTTAACTCAATGCTAAATTGTATTTACTGAAAAAGTCATTGTATCAATCATAGAACATACGGAATTATGACTTGAAAAGATATTGCTGATATTCTTGTTTCGTCAACTTGTTTGTCAATAATTTACCTTCAAGTTGTTTTTAGAAATTGTTTAACATGCAAAATTGCTTCGCCGCCTCGGGAAATAGTTTCCTCCCTCGGGTAACCATAAATTAGCTATTTCCCTCGTACCCATTCAATAACTGTATACTTCCCCTACCGGTGAACCCGGTCTGTCTGTCCCACTTTGCTTTCTACGCTTTTTTCTAAACGCTTGTAGATATTGAGCTTTCGGTATGTGAGTGTACATGTAACTTGATGAGGTACATATCAAGTACATATCAATTTACATTTTGTTCCACTTAAATGATTTTTAAGTAAAATTACAGCTTTTTTAATTGGAACAAGATTACACTTTCCGGTAGGGGCTAGTATTGCTAAGGCAATACTCTCAGAATGCTCGTTATATATATGGTGATCGGGATGTCCGTCTATCTGTTACGCTTTGGGGTACCCATCTTTTATCCACAACTCCTTTTATACCAATGAATACATTTTATGAGACTTTCACAAAATCTTTGTTACGTAGCACCATCGTGCACCTCCTATTTTTCTGTTTGATCGGACACATGTTTTGGGTTTCCGATGACAGAGCATGGACACTACTATTCTTTTTATAATATTGAAGAAAACCCATCTCTTATCCGCAACTCCTTCAATAACAATGAATAAAGAAGATGAGTGGGATGGTGGGTGAAGTGCTTATAATACGGCAAACATGATGTGAAAAAATACCGGTAAATATCAATAACGTCAAAATGTTGTCTGACATTTAAAGCTTATCAACATACAAAAATTATTAAACAGCATTTGTTCTATAACAATCAAGAAAAAATATGTAGGCAACTGAATCATTTATTTAGGATAACTGATATGAATCCATAATTTTCTGTCAATTTTGCTTCAAATTACCTCTCTTTGGTATAGCTCTGTAACATAGGATGAAAAACGGTATTTTGTTTACATTGTTTTAATAACAATGAACAGAACACTAGCAAAAATTTACAAACTTTAATCAACCTGAGCCTCTGTTTTGACGTTTTCATGGGTTTTAATTACTGTGAGTGATTAAATTTTTACCATTTACCATTGTAACAGTTACTAAAGAAAGTATAACATAAAATAAACATGCAGTCAAATATGTTACACTTGGCAAGTGTTTTTTTTTTTAGTATTTTAGTATTTTAAAATTAAAAAGAAAAGGTTGAAGAGAATTATATTTTGAAAAATGCATGGCCGTAGGAACCAGGAGGATGGGGAAGGGATTACTCCCCCCCCCCCCAAAAAAAAAAAATTTGCCCTCACCGTTTTCTACTGTATACATCGTTCACATCGTCGACATTGTCCTTCTTACTTTTCTTGTTAACATCGTTCACATCGTCGACATCAAAATGTTGGTCGATATCGAGTCGACATTGTGTCAACATTGCTCTACTTATTTTTTCTTGTTTACATCGTTCACATCGTTGACATTGCAATATTGGTCGATATCGAGTCGACATTGTGTCAACATTGACTTTTTAAAAAATCTTGTTTACATCTCTTTCACATCGTTGACACATCCATGTTGGTCGATAATGAGTATAGATATTGTGTGAACAATTGCATTCTTATTCTTTTGTTTACATATTTGGGTTGGCCTATATTGAGTCGACATCATGTCATTAACATTAGGTTTACTTTTTTGTTTATCTATCTTGTACGGAAACGTATAACCGCCTCGTGTTGTTGGTTTAGAACGCGATATTATGATATAGAAATGTTGTCAAATACAATTACTTCAAGGTTTGGCTATTTAATTATGACAACTATCTCTAATGAATAATACGTTTTTGATATGTTTTAGACGACTTATACACAAAGTTGAATTCCTAAATGTCGCACTAAAATAATGTGTAAAAATTAAGCCGCTAAAATTAAATATCGCAGACATTAGTGCAATATAACATAATATAAAGACTACGCTTAGACGACTAAATTTAATGAAAGAGGAATTTCAGCAAACCTCGAACGACTTGTAACATCAGATTTATTAATATAACATATTGCATTGCATCGATGTAAATAAAACACTCAAGTAATTCAAACTGTTATTCCACTACTTGCAGGGCCGTAGTGCGTGTCTAGGCAATGCTTTCCTCTTTTTCTGAGTGTGTGCTTTTCTTAGGACTCGGGACACTCTTTTAAAAACCGTAACTTCGAGTCACATTATTTGTAAGATCATGTTTGTTCTATCAATTGGATCCTCCTTCATCTTTTGTTTGTGAATCTTTTTTGCTCCTCCAGGGGCCCAAATTGGACTGATAAAATTTTGTATCTTTACAAGTCGTTCGAATTTTGTAAAATTTTTCTCTTTGATTAAATCGAGTCGTCTAAGCGAAGTCTTCATATATCTCATATTGCACTAATGTCTGCGACATATTTAATTTTAGCGTCTTAATTTTTAGGGTTTTTTACACATTATTCTAGTACGACATTTAGGAATTCAATTTTGATATATCAAAGGTTTTAAGTACGGCTCCGTGTAAAAATCATGCAGAGGGTGATTCATGGGGGGTTTCAGAATTTCTTCAAACTTTGCATGTTGGTAGAGTATGCTAAGATACTCCAAAAAAAAAAAATATTTTTTTTCAATTCTGCCATTGGTATCCATGGCAACCGATAAACTGTTTTGGGCAAAAAATGGCTGAAATTTCCTCTAAAAACAGGCAAAAATACCAATAATGAAGATTAAATGAAAAGAAAACTAAACAATAAAACAAATTTATGTTTATTTCTTATTAATATACAGCATAAGTAGTTACTATCCATATCTAATCAAAATATTTTTATGACCAGTAATGTGTTCTAATTTTAAGCTAAAAAGGGGAGATAATCCATATTTGCAAAAAATGTAAAATATCCATTTTTTAGGATTTCTATCTATCAAAAATTTCTAAAAACCCCACAGCCAAACTAAAAAGCCATGCTAGTTTCATAGAGACTATAGTCTAAAGTCAATAAAATTATTAA